GAGTGGTTAGGAATTATCCACCTGTCCAAGCCCTGCGCAATTTGAGGATATTTCTCGTGTAGATCACCAATGGGACGCAAAGAAGGATTTGCACGACACCTACCCACTTGCAGACTTGTAATCATTACCTTGAACTCTTCCACTATAAATAGAGGACACCCCTCTCATTTACGGGATTGGCTAATCTTAGTCTAAAATAGCTTACACATTCTCTCTTTTTTTTCGTATTCTCTCTAGATTATAACTCAGCTTGCTGCACACGGCCTAATTTTACCCATCTATTAATACAATAGCAGTGGACGTATGATTCGTTTTTGAGCATCTAAACCACTTTAAATATCGTTTCTTATTCATTGTATCATTTCATGTTTCCTTATCAGGTGTGATTTCTAAGTCCGCTTAACACTTTACACGTGCGAGTCGTTAGTGTCAAAATCAAGCATCAACAGTGATGAATGTAAATTGTTTATGGGTTATGCCTAAGAATGGTTTGTGATAATTGTTTTTTATTTTGGTTTGAATTTGGATTGTGGTGGATGGGTTTTGCATACGGCAGGGTGGTGATGGGTGCACTATGGCGTAGGGCTGCGATTTGTGTGGGTAGGTAGGTGGCCACGGTGGGCAAAGGTTCACTGATGGAGGGGTTGAGCTACAAGACAAGATAGATAAAGCGAAAGAAAAAAAAAAAAAGTATGCTTGCTACTGCTTTTACTGACCCTGTCACTTCTCTATCTAGAACCTTTAAAACCCTTGTTAAACCATCAAGAAAGTCTGTCAAATAATATGCGCAAACCACTTGTTTTGACAAGAAAGAATATTGCAAGTTTTATTAATTTTGAAATCACCCCAATCTCAAGCAAAATTAGTTGTCAATGAAAATTATGAAATTCAGACTAAAATTCATGAGGACAAACAATAAAAGGGAGTAAAGAATCTTAAAAAAAATCGAGTTGACGTCGTTGTAGAATTACTCCGGCTTTTCGAATACTCTTCTCCAAGCTCCTCTCTCTTTTTATGTCTCTAATTTCTTGTTCGGTCTCCAATTAATTCTAAAAATTGCCAAGGGAGTCTTCTTATAGTGCTAGGTTTCTAAGGGTGTTGTTAGAACAATCCTAGACAAATTAGGATAAAAGAATGCAATCCTAGACAAATTAGAATAAGAGAATACTAATAAAATTTGGATTCCCTTAACATGGGCTGCGACATGCAATTTCGCATGTTGCGACGCGCCTTCAAACCAGAATAACCCAAGAGTGATCCGCCGCTACACAATTTTTCCGATGCCGCGGTGCGCATAAATCCCTTAATCAAATATCCAGACCCGAAACTTCACTGCCACGGCTAAAAAACTTTCTTGTTTTATCTCCGATTCTCGAATCATTTATTTTCAGTTGTCACAAGTTTCCACATCAACATTACTCTTCATCCAAATACTATTTATGACATAGAAAATACACCAAACATACTTGTAATTCCAAAAAAAATATTTATGAAATGATTAAGTAAAATTATACAAATCAAACCTAATTTCTCGCAAATGATATTTGATAAATCACTAAGTATAAGTGCATTTCCAAATATTTATTAGTTTACAGATACAATTGTAACTAATTCGCGTAATTTACAGATCACTCTTCACTACACTTAATGTTGAGTTAGTACATGACAAAAACAGTTAGCTAATGAAAAACCTGTTGTTGAGCTTGATCATCTAACAAAGAGAACAATTAGACCTTTAAATCTTGCATGTAATTAAAATTAATGAAGAATTTAATCTGGACATTTAGTAACTGTTATTGTCATGTCACAGGTTCATCATTAAAGAATTTGGATTATGTCGGGGCTAATAGTTTTTAAAATAGACAACCATTTGTTTCAAATTAATGAGAGTGGGGTACTTTAGACTTTTCAGTTAGATTATTTTTTCTTTTTATGATTTTGATAGCCTTCATTTTTTTTTTTTCTACTTTTGCAAGTTTCCCAATTTTACATTTTTTTTCCTTTACTATCTTCTTCGCAAATTTCTATAATACATTTCAGACACCCAATCAAACTACTCACCCAAACGTATGGCAGCCACTTCCCCGCCAACATAACCACAAAATCTACCCACCTAAACCCGCTCCAACAACATATCCACCTGTTGAGCCCAAAACTAATGAAAAAGTTGATTGATATTTAACAAATATGCAAAGGTATGATAAGAGTCATAACCAAAATAAAACTGCATTTTTCCTAGTTGGTATGACCGTCCAGGATGAAGGAACGATCGTTCCTATTTCATAAAGTTGCCTAGATAAACGTCCCTCGTAGCACGACCACGTTCCAAATAATCGAGTGCTCTTCTGCCCAAAATGATGTCAAGTCACTCACATCGGCACGATCAAACTACACGCCCGTTCCAATCAAGTCAAAAGTCAAAGTACTCAAATTCAAACGATTTCACGCCTTTGACAAATCTTGAAGAATAAGCCTTGAAGTTCAAGTGTTTCAAGCAGAACGATCAAGTTGCATGACCGTTCCCACTCAAAGATCATTCTTGGTAGAATGTTAACATTTCAGAAAGCCGTGCATGCTTCTGGAATTTTTATGGATTTTTAAGGAGCCAATGGAACAACTATTCCATGTGGTGAAATGACCATTTGCGATGGTGGAACGATCATTCCGTACACCCTGAAACTGTGCAAAAGTAATCATTATGATAGGAACGATCGTTCACGATGGTGGAACGACCTTTCTTCTAGGTTCTACAGTTTTTCAGAGTTACATTAAATGCAGCAACGACTCTTTACTTCTTAGGGGAGAGACAAGCAATAAATAGAGCATTTTATTGCAAAAAAAGATAAAGAGACTATCAGAGAAACAAAAATCTTATAAAAACCATTCTCACATAATCCTTTGTGCTAAAAGTCCAAATCATTATTAATCTCTTGTACTCATATTGAAAAAAAATCCAAATCATTATTAATCTCTTGTACTCATATTGAAAACATTCTATCACAAATTCTCTAGCTTCTTCATTCAAGAGATTCCTAAAAATTTGAAACCACAACCACCACTTGCTTGTTGCCTAGGCCACCTCAAGGCTAGCTGTTGCAAACTCTCATAGTGGCATTCATGACTAGGCTTTTTACAACCAGCCTCTGCCATGCCAATATGGCAACTAGCCACGTAAGGCTTTGGAATCAAGTGACCAATTTCGTAGGTGTGAATAATTTTGATGAGAAATTTAGTATGCAAATGGATATTTTACAATTTTTGTTAATTTGGTGTAAAATAACCTTTATGCCCTTCTATTGTTACATTTTTTTAATAGTTTTATTTTGGGAGGGAATTTGTAGTTTAGACATTCAAGGGATGGTAACTTATATTTTTGGCAAAACTAGGGTGGGAAAATATACTTCAGCCTAACAATTATAATAAGAGTGTGTTTGGTTGGGGATAATCTCCCATTATTAAGGTGATATCATCTTATATTACTTGATTATCACGTTTGGTTGTCAAGTAATATAAGATTCTAGTAATCTTTCAAAACTAATAGTAATAACTGTTGGTAATATGAGAGTTAATCTAATTATCTCCACTTTTTTAGGTATTTTAAAATTATATGGTAATCTTAATTTTGTTACAATTTTATCTTTAACTATTAAAATTTTTGGATAATAATACCCTTGTTTTGAAAAAATTTACAAAAAAAATTCAAGGACTATTTTATCCTTATATACAAAATTTTTAGGATGAAAATACCCATGAACTTGAAAAATATAACGCATGACTGGTGGCAAGATGTGGCCACCACTGCCGATAGTTGAAACAAGACATGATTGTTTTGCCCGTCTTCCTTCTATAAGATGTGTCATTGTCGTTGCACCTGTTATACATTAGTCACTTTATCAGATGGATGTCAAGAATGTCTTTTTGCATGGGGAATTGAAAGAGAAAGTCTATCTACAACCTCCTCCAAGGTATGATCATCTTCTTAACAAGGTTTGTCGAACATTTATAATCTTAAACAATATCTTTATTAGCACTTTGAGATAAAGGATTTGGATAATAAATAAATAGTATTGCTCTTGCAAAACTTGTATACAAATTTAAACATACAAAGTGACGTAGCATTGCCCTTTAATTGACATATTATTTATCTTCTTCTAATGAGTTGACTTTTTATTTTCATCTTCCCAATCATTATACATCACATCACTTTGCATACTAAACATGGTAAAAAACTTTGTAAAAGTAGTATTATTCTTAATGAATAATGAAATACATGCTACAATCTGGGATACCTTTTTTTTTTCTTAATTGCTTAAGAATAGGGCCAAATCCAGTTAACAGCACAATGGGCCTAGAAGCGGCTGGAATCCAAAATCCTAATGAAGCATGGCCGATATTCCCTTATGGAGAACTTGTAGAGTGTCTTATGTCTAGAGGTGGGCAGGGACTGGTCCCAAGCAGGCCCAGGCTTGAGCCCGTTTGGGACTGGTCCCACTCATGGTCCCAGGCCCATGAGAAAAATTAGGACCCGTACCAGGCCATAGGCCTGGTAGGGACTGGTCCCATGGGCCCAGGACCGGTCCTATGGGCTTGGATAATTTTTTTCTCCCCTCAATTTTTTTTTATATTTGGAGGGCAAAACAAAATTTTATAGGGGGTTTTTAGTATTTTTTAGGGGTAAAATTTATAAATTTTATAAATTTTTTAGACGTGGAAGATTTTTTTTTTATAAATTTTGTAAAATTTTATTTTAGCCCTCATAATTTATATTTATTTTAAAATTAATAGAGGGTTTTATGTAATTTGGCAGGAGACTATATTGAAAAAATACAAAAAATTTTGGGACCGGAAGGAGGGCCCGGGCCCTCCTCCTTAGGCCTGGTCCTGTTTTGGGACCAGGCCTCCTAGGTCCGGTCCTCTCAAGGATCAGTCCTAGGACCGGGTTTTGGAGCTGGGCTTTTGGGCCCGGTCCCAAATGCCCAGCTCTACTTATGTCTATTGAAATGATCAAGGGACTTTCACATCATGGTGAATTGACTGTGGACACGCTTCAAGTAGGGATAATTTTGCAACTGGAAGCCATTGGAGTTATCAGTATACAGGCAACTTAATATATTTCTACCTCCTCAACTTTGTACATAAAGTGAAAGCATAATTCAGATTTGAACCCAAGTTTATAAATTTTACCTGTAATGTTTTATTAGTGATAGAACCATCCATTTATACTCTTTTAACATGTTCTTTGGAGCTCTGCGGATCTCTAATTTCTAGCTCTCCATTGTTGATGGTCACAGCAAAACTCTGGCAACCGTGAGCTGATTGCAAAAATGGAAAAAAGGGAAAAGGATTGTCTACTAAAGAAGAAGAAGGCTTTTGATCCCTCCAAGAAACTGAATGACATGATGATATATATGGTCAAACTAGAATGGTATAAGAAGACTTGTGCATCTGATAAACGAGGCTACTACGATAGTTATAAGAGCGGGGGATCATCACAGAAGGACATAAAAGTTGTCGAGTTTAAGAAATACCTCAACAATTACTGGAAAAAAATGGTTGATGAAGCCGAGAGAAAACCCCAGACAGAAGGGGCTGCCTTCATGACCCGATGGCTATATGGTGGGACAAATTATCGTAGGATGGTTGAACCTCTTGACATTGCTGACTACTACAGCAAGGGTTTGAGAGACTACAAAACTAATGGAAGATCTCAACATTTTATAAGGTTGGAGCAATGGCTAGAGGAAGCTAAAAAATTGGAAGGAAAGAAACAAAACGTGTCAGCCAGTTCAACTGACTCAAAGAAACAAAAGGTATCAGCTCTTCTAACTGAAGATTCTTGCTTTTGGGCAGATGGCGCAAATCACTGAAAGATGGTGACCAGAGAGAATCAACAAGAAAGAATCTAATTAATTTTGAAGAGGATGTAATGAAGCAGATCGAGAATTATGCGGTATCTCCAGAGATTTTCTTAGCAGGGAGCAGCTTTATGCGGTGGAGAGAGTATGAAGAAATTATAGGAACTTCCTATAGTTCACAACTCACTCACTCTATGCAAAATGGCCTTTACTATCAGTATGGCAATGGTTCATAGCTTCTGGGATGAAATATGATTATTGTCAGTATGATTTATGTATGAGATGGAACATATTAATGCAGATGTTTGCACTTGTTCATTATACTGCATTAAGAGGCAATTGTTGTGCTATAAAAAATCAATAAAGGGGAAGTTCCTTCTTTATCTTAATTAATTCATTTGTATGTCTAGATTAAGCTGATAATCTGCTCTATTTTTGTGGCATTTGCATTCCACACCCATTCTAGAAAACAGATTAAAAAAAAAAAAAAAAATTGTATTCATTTTAAAAGCTTTGACCTCAATTGCTTGCAGGAAGAGCTAGTAATTGTACACAAAGGTTAACAGTCCAGGCAGATCATGATACGCAACATGACCCTAAAGGCTCTTACTAGGTAAGCTAATAAATCTTTATAGACATACACTCTATATGGAAAATGACAAGAAAGAAATTGCAATATTACGTAGTTTCTTGGAGATGAGAGTGGAGACTTGATAGAGCCACATGTAAACCCACATGGCTACACTCAGCATAGCTGGAATTGCCCCTTCCCATATCCTTGTCATATACACTACACGGTTGTATTGATAGTCTCGTTTCTTGCGGCCAAACACCACTTTGATATCAGAGATTTAGATGCAACACACCAATGTAAATATATGCTCTTTCTCAGATAATTGCATTAAGTTTTAATGTTCCATTGCAGATTTACATATAAAACTCATTTCCATTATGTCAGATTACACATTAAATCTTGGCAATTCTCCTACATGTTTGAGAGAATTCATCACCCCAAAAACTTGATACATAAACATAATATGCAAAGAAACCGAAACTTGTACTAATCATGATCCTTTCCAAATCTAAGCTCTTTCGAGTTTTTTCCGATCTTATAAAGTGTATTTTGTTCAGATAAAGATCCAATAAGGAGATAATCCTTGTTAAACTTGTACACGATAACATGTTTTGTTGAAGGTAAACCTGAATTAGGGAGCAACAGAGGGGTTTGTAGTTGACAGAATGTGAATGAGCTGTTAATGTCGACAAAACTCTAACCTAAGTTGAAGAGCCACCAGCTTATATATTAATGTGGAACAATCCACCACAGGCATAGCTAATAATCTTTGGTATTCCAAATGTCAGTACATTCAGAACTGTAACATTGATGAAGCTGTCTTCTATAGTGCACTTGCTCTTGTACTTTGTCATGGATACTATTTGAAAACGCACTTCATCACTCAAAGTGCTGTGAAACCTTACACTAGAAATATGGAGGAACATACGAATCTTGAAAATGATAGTAGATACTTGCAGCTGTCTGATGTTAGAATTCCACTCACTTTTGTAAGTTTTCCCCCCCTTTTTGTCCTCTCTCTTTTTCTATTTTATTACCTATCATGAATGATTTTCATAGGCTACCATGGCATATGCGTGAAGTAGCAATTTCATATATACGCAATATGTATTAGATTTAAAATAAAATAAAAAAGTTAAGCCAGTTTTGGGGCTATAAGTAGATAATAATTGTTAAAAATTATACTTTTTGATGAGAACTAGGGGAAAGAGTTCCCAAATGAGTCCTGGATAGGGGTGAAAATCGAGCTGAGCTACTCGCAAGCGGCTCGATGTTGGCTCGAATTCGGCTCAGCATTAGTTGAGTCAAGTTTGAGTTTGAGTAGTTATTCAAGTCGAGTTCGATCACAGTAGAACTCGACTCGAAATGTTTGCGAGTATTTCCAAGCTCAACGGTTAAGTTGATAGTTTTTAAAGTAATAAAGGTCGTATGTAATTTAAAAGTTATAAAGTAATAGTTTGAACTCGAATTCAATTAAAACTCGACTAAAACTCAAAAAAAAAAAAAAAATCGATTATACGAACTCGAATTCGAATTTCAAGTACCGAGTTCGAGTTAGAACTTGATTTCTTAGGCTTAATCAGGTTCAAACTCGAACTCAGTATTGTAGCGCTCGAATAGAGTTCGATTTACCAGATACTCAACTTGACTCAATTTCACCCTTACTCTTGGATCACAAATCCCTTAAGCACTGTGCCTCTTAATTGCAATGCAAGTGATATGATGCTGAAAGTTCGACGAGATTAATTGGATAGTCTATGCAATTGTTGCTGATATTCATGTAGAATATCCTGTATAAGCACAGGGATTGGTGTTTTATAACTACTACCTTTTTATAACAATAGATGGTTAAGCTGGCTACTATTAACACCTTGAAGTTGAATGAGAACTAAGGTGTTACTGAGACAGGCAGAGTATGACCAGTTACGGAGATTTAGAACATTTATTAGTGGGTCATATAAAATGAATTCTTTCCTGGTTAGAGCTTTATCTAAACAATAGACATTGTTATAGTTAATGGTTAATAAGACACCACACACACACACACACACACACACACACACACACACGCTATATATATATATATATATATATATATAATTTGAGCTCTTTTGAGTTTTCAAAGATCCTATTGTTGGAATATTGTGACTCACTTTCGTATTTGTTCTCATATGAAAAAGGAAAAATATTTAATGAAGAATATAATTGTAAACAGGAATAGAATTTAGAAGTTCTATTAAGAATTGAAATATAAATCTTATTAGAAATAGAATATCTCATATCTTACCTACAAATATAAAGATGAGAACCAATTCAAGGTTATGAGAAAATATGAGAGAATATGAGAACACATAGTATTTGATGTAAAAGTTATTAAACACCATAGATAAAGTGTCTTAGAAACTAGGATAGTTTCCACTCTAGGTACTAGGTTAAGCATGATTAGAAACTAGGATTGTTTCCGCTCTGTTTTATGTATTAGGTTTATGGTGTTGTGTACTCTTGTATATCGTGTTTATGAAACTACCGTGGATTTCTCTCATATGTGGATCTAGGCTGATTATGCCGAACCACGTAAATATCGTGTCTCTTTATGTGGTGTGATTTTATTCCTATGTTATTTATCTCCAAAGTATGTTTTCCATTGTGCGATCTCCTAACAAGTGGTATCAGAGCTCCAAGTTGCGAACTAGGAGATGACTTCTTTTGAGATGGTGGATGCATATAAGAAACGGGCTACAATAGGTTTAAGTTGTAGGTGTAGTGGTTCTCAAATCTTAGCGACAAAATTTGGCATGGCTACTGTGCAACCTGGATACTAGCAAAATCAGACATGGTTACTCTATGACATGGATGCCGTGATGGTGGAGCGTTATCTTTGTCATGTTCATCGCTATGATGGAAAACTCGCCAAGGTGGAGATTGTTGGGATATTGTGGCTTGCTTTCCTATTTGTTCCCATGTGAAAGTATGTCTTTAGGATAACTATTTAATAAAGAATACAATTGTAAATAGGAATAGAGTTTATGAATCCTGTTAAGAATTGAAATATGAATCCTATTAGAAATAGAATATCCCTTATCCTACCTATAAATATAGGGGTGAGAGTCAATTCAAGGTTATGAGAAAATATGAGAGAATGTGAGAACATAGGGTATTTGATGTAAGAATTATTAAACACCATGGGTAAAGTGTCTTAGAAACTAGGATCGTTTCCCACTCTAAGTACTGGGTTGAGCATGGTTAGAAACTAAGATTGTTTCTGCTCTATTTTATGTATCTGGTTTATGGTGTTGTGTGTTATTGTATATCGTGTTCATAAAACTATAGTGGATTTTTCTCATTCGTGAATATAGGCAGGTGATGCCGAACCATGTAAATATCGTGTCTCTTTGTGCAGTGTGATTTTATTCCTATGTTATTTATTTCAAAAATATGTTTTTCGCTACACGATCTCCTAACAAGTGGTATCAGAGCTCCAAGTTGCAAACTGAGAGATGAGTTCTTTCGAGATGGTGGATGCACATAAGAGACGGACTACAAAGGGTTTAAGTTGTAGGTGGAGTGGTTCTCAAATCTTGGTAGCAAAATTTGGCATGGCTACTGTACAACCTAGATGTTAGCAAATTGGACGTGGTTACTCTATGACCTGGATGCCGTAATGGTGGAGCATTGTCTTTGTCATGTTCACAGTTACGATGGAAAACTCTCACATTCATCGCTGTGTTGGAAAACTCGCCAAGGTGGAGATTGTTGGGATATTGTGGCTCGCTTTCCTATTTGTTCCTAAAGGTTTTCAATGAAAAATATAAGAAGTAGAGTACGAACAGAAACAGAGCAAAAACAGCCGAAAAAAATTTGGGATTTTTCTTACTGACTTGAATGAATATTGTTACAAGGTGGTTTACTATTTTGTATGTTAGTTAGATTACAAAACGCATTGTTTCTAACTAAGTTTCAAAATATTACAAAAACACCCTAGATCATTCTAATATTTTCCCTTAAACCCAACTCCTCTATCTGCTTCTATAGTCTTTTGCTTTTTTATCTCAACATTTCCCTTTAAGCTCGGTTCCACTATCTGCTATAGATTCTTCTGCTATTATCTCAACATTTCTACTTAAACTTAGCTCTTCTATCTACTTTTAGAGTCTTCTGCATTTTATCTTAACATCTGAGCATTTCAACGATGCTTCTAACATCTCCCTTTCAGCTTACAACTAAACATTTCAATACTTCTCTTTTACAATAGCATTTTAACAAACCACCTTCGACTATACTAAACTACATTACAGACTCTAGCAACAAACACAGAACAATCAGCACCTTATGCTACTTATAAATCATACAGACTTTTCTCAACACCTTCTGCTGTACACAAGTCATACAAACTTCTCTTTTACAACAACATTTCAGCAAACAAACCACCTTCTACTATACTCAACTTCATTGAAAACTTCAGTAGCAAAACATAAAAAAAATAAAACATCAGTTTGAACTCTAACAATAAAAACAAAACACTCAGCATATTCTGCTTGACACAAGTCATACAAAATGGCTACACATATTTCAGTACTACTCAAAACAACAGCTTCTACTATCCTCAACTTACTACACACATCAACAGCTTCTGCTACACACAAGTCATACAGAATGGCTACA